GGCCAGGGGGCCCATGTTGGGACTACAGCATTGCGTCAGCATATGCAGCGTCGCCATTCGGTGGCCTGGGAAAAACGTGATAAAGATACGGCGGTTCTGCCTGCCCTAGCCCCCGCTCCATCACCCGCTCCGTTACTTGCTCCGTCACCCGACGTCAATCGCCCTCTATCAGCCAGTCAAGGCTCCAACAACTCTGCTGAGGGGAGTTGTCGCTCGTTGGCATCTTCCGCTCGTTCAGATGCTCCTTCTCCTGCTACTCCTCTTCACGGATTCCGTCAGCAGTCTTTCTTGGAATCCGTTTCCAAGAGACAACAGTTTGCGAGCACGCACCCGACGGTGCAAAAGCTGAACGTCCTCCTGTCCAAGTTGCTGGTGCTGCAGTCCCTCCCTTTCCAAGTGGTGGACTCAGCACCTTTCCGAGAAATGATGGCTTGTGCCGCACCGCGGTGGAGAGTGCCAAAGCCGGCATTTCTTCGCCAAAAAGGCAGTGCCAGCCCTGCATTCACATGTAGAAGAGATGGTGGGCCAGTCTTTGAGCATGTCGGTCTCTGCCAAAGTGCACGGCATCGCCGACATGTGGAGCTGTAACTACGGTCAGGGACAGTACATGTCATTTACGGCCCACTGGGTGAACGTGGTGCCGTCACAGCCGCACCAGCAACTTGGACAGGTCACGCCGCTTTTGCCTCCACATTTGCACGTCCTTGGTCCAGCAAAGATGTCCGCCTCTACCACCTCTTCTTCCGCCGTGTCCTCAACCGCCACCCCCGTGCCAAGTCCCATTACCCGACCGGCATATCACATGTGCAGGGCGCAACGGTGTCACGCTGTGCTGCACCTGGTATGCCTTGGCGAACGTAGTCACACAGGGGAGGAACTTCTGAGTGTAATGAACAGAGAAATCGACAGGTGGCTGTCTCCGCGCAAACTGAAAATCAGAACCATGTTGACCGACAACGGAAAGAACATGGTGTCTGCTCTGCGTCAAGGAAGGTTGTGCCATGCGCCATGCATGGCTCACGTGTTCAATCTGGTTGTCAAGCGGTTCCTAAAATCCACCATCCCACTGCAAGACATCCTTAAAATGTCACGTAAACTTTGCATGCATTTCAGCCATTCCTACACCGCAAAGCACACCCTCCTTGAGCTGCAGCGGCAGAACGGAATTCCACAGCATCGCCTGATCTGCGACGTTGCAACAAGGTGGAATTCAACCCTACATATGTTAGACCGCCTTTACGAACAGCGAAAGGCCATCATCGATTTCCTGATGTTACAAGCGGATAAAGGTACTCCCCTGTGTAACTTAGATGTCAGCCATTGGCAGCTCATGCGTAACACCTGCCGCTTGCTCAGGCCCTTTGAGGAGGCCACGCTATTCGTGAGTCGGCAGGACTATGGGATGAATGACGTCATTCCTCTGTTGCACGTCCTGGAACAAATGCTGTTAACAATGGCTGGTCAGGGTGCGGTAGACGTGGCGCACAGATCTCAATGCCACATGACCCCTGTGGGGGCAGGACAGGAAGAAGAGGAGGAGGTAGAGGAGGACATTGGTGCTCAGGAAATATTGAGTGAAATGGGTGGTTTTTCCACTCAGCGGACAGGAGTGGAGGAGCAGGAGCATCTGGTAGAGGAGGAGGAGGAGACAGAGGACCCAGACGCACCGTGGCAGTATGCTGTGGAGATGGAGGCAGGGAGTCCCTCGCATTCCTTGGCACAAATGGCCCATAGCATGCTCGGTTGCTTGCGTAGCGACAGCCGAATAATAACCATCAGACAGAGGGATGACTTTTGGCTGTCCACCTTGTTGGACCCTCGCTACCGTTCAAAATGGTGGCCTTTTTCACACCTGCTGAGAGGGAGGCCAAAATAAAGTACTATAAAAACCACCTATGTAGTCAGTTGGTCTCTGCCTTTCTGCGCCAACGTCCATCCTCAGACACTGTGGGCCCTGTGCGCTCGCGTTCCGCTGCCATGGCAGCAGGGGAGGGGTGGGGTGGTAGGAGCAGTGGCAGCTCCACCAGCAGCGGCTGCCTCAGTCTGCAGTCGATGATGAGTAGCTTTCTTCACCAGCGCAGTGAGGAAACTACTAACCAGCCGCAGCAGCAGAAGCATCAGGTGGACCTGGAGCAGGACCTCAAACAACAGGCTTGGGCCTACTTGGACAGCACCCTGCCAACCGAGGTAGACAATCCCCTTGACTACTGGGCAACGAAACTTGACCTTTGGCCCCAACTAGCTGAATTTGCCCTTGAAAGGCTGTCATGCCCGGCCAGTAGCGTGGCATCGGAGCGCGTGTTTAGTGCGGCAGGAGGTATTGTAACTCCGCGGAGGACACGAATGTCCACCCAAAGTGTGGAGAGACTCACGTTTGTGAAAATGAATCAGGCGTGGATTAGTCTGGATTTCAAACCACCAGTTGCTGACACAACTGACTAAATCCGCCATGAATCATGCCCCAACATTTTATTAGGGACAAATAGGCCGCTGTCTTTACAACTTTATAATTACATGCAGTATATAGCCCTATCAGCCACTTTCTGGCATCCAGTTGCTGTAGCCCCCATCACCACACTGTGCCACGGGCCCCTGTACCGCCTTCTCATACTGCTGCCAGATCCATCCTCTGCCATGTGCGTCTTTGTCGTCTGCTCACGCTGCTGGGTTCCAGTTTTAAAAAACCTAGGCCTGTGTATGGCTTCCGAATACTGCTGCCTCCACCGCCACCCTGCGCCATGTGCTTCTGTTGTCTGCTCACTCTGCTGACGGCTTCCACTCTTTAAACTAGTCCTGTGTATGTCTTCCGAATACTGCTGCCTCCACCGCCACCCTGCGCCATGTGCCACTTTCAGGTCTCCTTACACTGTTGGTGGGTTCCATTTTGTAATAGGGTGCTGTATGGCCTTCCATTGCTGCTGCCTCCACCGCCACCCTGCGCCATGTGCCTCTGTCGTCTGCTCACGCTGCTGACGGCTTCCGCTTTTTAACCGAGGCCTGTGTTTGGCTTCCGAATACTGCTGCCTCCACCGCCACCCTGCGCCATGTGCCACTTTCAGGTCTCCTTACACTGTTGGTGGGTTCCATTTTGTGATAGGGTGCTGTATGGCCTTCCATTGCTGCTGCCTCCACCGCCACCCTGCGCCATGTGTCTCTGTCGTCTGCTAACGCTGCTGACGGCTTCCGCTTTTTAACCGAGGCCTGTGTTTGGCTTCCGAATACTGCTGCATCCACCGCCACCCTGCGCCATGTGTCTCTGTCGTCTGCTCACGCTGCTGATGGCTTCCGCTTTTTAACCGAGGCCTGTGTATGGCTTCCGAATACTGCAGCATCCACCGCCACCCTGCGCCATGTGCCTCTGTCGTCTGCTCACGCTGCTGACGGCTTCCACTCTTTAAACTAGTCCTGTGTATGTCTTCCGAATACTGCTGCCTCCACCGCCACCCTGCACCATGTGCCACTATCAGGTCTCCTTACACTGTTGGTGGGTTCCATTTTGTGATAGGGTGCTGTATGGCCTTCCATTGCTGCTGCCTCCACCGCCACCCTGCGCCATGTGCCTCTGTCGTCTGCTCACGCTGCTGACGGCTTCCGCTTTTTAACCGAGGCCTGTGTTTGGCTTCTGAATACTGCTGCCTCCACCGCCACCCTGCGCCATGTGCCTCTGTCGTCTGCTCACGCTGCTGACGGCTTCCACTCTTTAAACTAGTCCTGTGTATGTCTTCCGAATACTGCTGCCTCCACCGACACCCTGCGCCATGTGCCACTTTCAGGTCTCCTTACACTGTTGGTGGGTTCCATTTTGTGATAGGGTGCAGTATGGCCTTCCATTGCTGCTGCCTCCACCGCCACCCTGCGCCATGTGCCTCTGTCGTCTGCTCACGCTGCTGACGGCTTCCGCTTTTTAACCGAGGTCTGTGTTTGGCTTCCGAATACGCTGCCTCCACCGCCACCCTGCCACCGCCTGTATGGCCTTCACCCTCCACAGCCCACCCTGCACCATGTGCTCTGTCGTCTGCTCACGCTGCTGACGGCTTCCGCTTTTTAACAGGCCTGTGTTTGCTTCCGAATACTGCTGCCTCCACCGCCACCCTGCGCCATGTGCCTCTGTCGTCTGCTCACGCTGCTGACGGCTCCGCTTTTTAACCGAAGCCCTCTGCCGAATTACACTGTGTCACTTGGTGGGTTCCATTTTGTGATAGGGTGCTGTATGGCCTTCCATTGCTGCTGCCTCCTCCCACCCTGCCCATGTGCCCTGTTGTCTGCTCATGCTGCTGACGGCTTCCGCTTTTTAACCGAGGCCTGTGTTTGGCTTTCCGAATACTGCTGCCTCCACCGCCACCTGCGCCATGTGCCTCTGTCGTCTGCTCACGCTGCTGACGGCTTCCGCTTTTTAACCGAGGCCTGTGTTTGGCTTCCGAATACTGCTGCATCCACCGCCACCCTGCGCCATGTGCCTCTCTTCATCTGCTCAGGTTGCTGATGGCTTCCGCTTTTTAACCGAGGCCTGTGTTTGGTTCCGAATACTGCTGCATCCACGCCACCCTTTGTGCCTCTGTTGTCTGCTCACGCTGCTGACGGCTTCCCTTTTTAACCAAGGCCTGTGTTTGGCTTCCGAATACTGCTGCCCACCGCCACCCTGCGCCATGTGTCTCTGTCGTCTGCTCACGCTGCTGACGGCTTCCGCTTTTTAACCGAGGCCTGTGTATGGCTTCCGAATACTGCTGCCTCCACCGCCACCCTGCGCCATGTGCCTCTGTCGTCTGCTCACGCTGCTGACGGCTTCCGCTTTTTAACCGAGGCCTGTGTTTGGCTTCCGAATACTGCTGCATCCACCGCCACCTGCGCCATGTGCCTCTGTCGTCTGCTAACACTGCTGACGGCTTCCACTTTTTAAACTAGTCCTGTGTATGTCTTCCGAATACTGCTGCCTCCACCGCCACCCTGCGCCATGTGCCACTTTCAGGTCTCCTTACACTGTTGGTGGGTTCCATTTTGTGATAGGGTGCTGTATGGCCTTCCATTGCTGCTGCCTCCACCGCCACCCTGCGCCATGTGCCTCTGTCGTCCCTGCTCACGCTGCTGACAGCTTCCGCTTTTTAAACCGAGCCTGTGTTTGGCTTCCGAATACTGCTGCCTCCACCGCCACCCTGCGCCATGTGCCTCTGTCGTCTGCTCACGCTGCTGACGGCTTCCACTCTTTTAACCTAGTCCTGTGTATGTCTTCCGAATACTGCTGCCATCCACCGCCACCTGCGCCATGTGCCACTTTCAGGTCTCCTGACACTGTTGGTGGGTTCCATTTTGTGATAGGGTGCTGTATGGCCTTCCATTGCTGCTGCCTCCACCGCCACACTGTGGCTCCACACTCTGGTTTTGGCCCCGTGGACTGCCCAAATGAGTGAAGTGAGCGGTGATTCTAAGATCGACGGCACTCATCTGCATGTCACACTGACTGAAAGTATTATTTCTCTTCCCCAGCAGACTCCAAGGGCATTTAAATTAAAGGTACAGTGTTCTGCACTAATATAAAGGCTCTCTGAAGCCTAGAAACACCCTTTTTTATAAGTTAAATTCGCAACGAATATATTTGCCTCAAATCGAATTTATTCCGCGAATTCGGGCGAATCAGCCGAATCAAATTTTTGAATAATTCGCTCATCTCTACTGATAATGTTTCTTTTTTGAGCGGCAGGAGAGCGGCATCCTCTGGCTGGTATTCTGACCTTTATCCAAGCTGTGTCAGCATTGGTGGGTGAGATCATGGCGTACGGTAAACTATAGGCGTATATAACTATCTATACTATATCATATCATGATAAGTCTCGTTCCCATGTTACCCTGTTAAACCTTCTACTAGCCACACTTGTCCAGTCCCAGGTGCAGTGAACGTCTTCCTTTCACTCGGAAACATAGCGGCACTTTTTTTTTACAGGGCTGGTTTAACTGTCCTAGAACCCAACCTTCCTCTTTTCGCAGCACGGGCTGAGGACCAGCCATGGCAGAGTTAAATAAATGGAAGTTAACAAATTGAAGACATTTTCCCAAAGTCCAGACGCGCTTCTTGTGACTGCTGAATAATGTTTCTTTTTTGAGCGGCGTCCTCTGGCTGGTATTCTGACCTTCATCCAAGCTGTGTCAGCATTGGTGGGGATGAGATCATGGCGTACGGTAAACTATAGGTGTATATAACTATAATCTTTACTATATCATATCATGATTAAGTCTCGTTCCCATGTTACCCTGTTAAACCTTTGCTAGCCACACTTGTCAGTCCCAGGTGCAGTGAACATCTTCTTTCACTCGAAAACATAGCGGCACTTTTTTTTTTACAGGGCTGGTTTACTGTCCCAGCACCCAACCTTCCCTCTTTTCGCAGCACGGCTTAGGACCGGCCATGGCAGAGTTAAAAAAAATGGAGAAAGCTAACAAATTGAAGATATTTTCCCAATTTCCAACGCTGTGACTGCTGAATGGATGTTTCTTTTTTGAGCGGCAGGAGCGGCGTCCTCTGGCTGGTATTCTGACCTTCATCCAAGCTGTGTCAGCATTGGTGGGTGAGATCATGGCGTACGGTAAAACTATAGGCGTATATAACTATATATACTATATCATTTCATGATAAGTCTCGTTCCCCATGTTACCCCTGTTAAACCTTCTGCTAGCCACACTTGTCCAGTCCCAGGTGCAGTGAACGTCTTCCTTTCATCGGGAAACCAATT